GTTATAAAGACATTTATAAATATTTATATTTAAAATAAATAAATATCTATTTAAATGAAACTGTTTCCATATTTTATACATTCCTGCTACATAATTAGAATAAAATTTTAACAATGTTTTTCAGAAGTATTATAATTATTAGGTACATGTTTTAATTGTCTATTTAAAAACAAAAGTAGTTGGATAAAATCCTGTTATTCTTTGATTTCTACTAATAGAAAACGCTAAGTCCATACACACTATGAGTTACATTACGCTATATATTTATTAGCAGCTTGTAACACGGCAGAAGATTTTCTTGTTATTCCAAACTACAAAACTCCAACTTCTATAAATTGATATAAATCGGTGTTATTAGGAGAAAATATTGGATAAAATAATGAAAATAAGTTACAAATTCGATTTTTGACATAACTAGTATATTGTTTTTTATTATTCCAAGCATTTCATTTATTTTTCTGTATTATCTTACATATCCTCATTTACTCCACCAACTGTGAGTTAGCGGAATGTATTCGCATCTTGAACTAGAGTTTTACCTGTTACATTCCGCTAACTGGTGCTAACTTTAAAACCAAAAATATTTACGAAATTTTATTAATGGGGTTTGAAGCAAGAGTAATTCAGCTAGTCACATAAAAAAAATCATAAATATGTCTGTAATAATAAAGATTTTATCAAGTTTTTTCATTCAATTGCTTCTCCTGTAAACCTACGAATTTGGAGTTAGAGTAGTGTTAATTGGAGGCATCGAGCTGTTACCTGCCTCCGTCCTTTGGCGAGCTGAAGGCATCCGTCAGATTTAAGTGGGTAGGGTTGTAGATATTATGTCTGAGTCCCACATAATCCCTGCTGGATTAAAATGGCAAAGCAGGGATATGCGTAAAAGCATTTCCTGACTTAAAAAAAAAGAAAAAGGGTATATGAAGCCGAGTTGCGGAGGCTTGAATAAACAATTATTATTTAGATCGGAGCTGTCCAAAAAAACAAATATTATTTAGATCGGTTAAGTTATATAAATATAAGGTAATAAATAACTGTTCAACTGAAACTCGAAATCGAATACAAAATCGGATTCAAAATCGAATACTAAAATCGATTTTCACATTCACAGAATAGATTATTTTTCACATCCCTATTCATTTTATAAACGCAATCGGCCATTTCGAATGTGGATTTTGCCAGAACAGTGTGTGTTCACAGTGATCAAGTACAAAATATCCGTTAAAAAGCCGTTACTTTTTACGTTATTTTTTTTGTTTTTACGTGAATGTGCGTTATTCTATTAGCATTTTTTTAAAACTTGGCTTTACATACATACTAGACACTGATTTCTTGCGATCATTTTCAGATTAGATACTGAACCTGAACCGTCTACAAGCACTACGCTTGGTAGACTGGCTTTTGAGGACGATTGGCCCTTGGAGGATCGTCATCTCTTTAAAGATGAAGTTTTCAATATGTGGAATTTAACTAAAGTAAATAAAACTTTAGGCAATAATGAGCAGTGTGTGGCATTCGCTGAAGAACATGGATTAGTGCATTCTCAAAAACAATGTAGAAGACATCGTGTACCCATGAAAATAATTAAATCGACGAATAAAACATTTGGTACATGGTCTTGTGCAAAAGTAAATTGCAAAGCAAAATCAAGAATTGCTAGAAATAAAGGAACATTTTTCGATAACATTAAATTAGACTTAGTACATGTCTTCTATTTACTATATGCATATTCTCAAAATTGGAGTTATTATACAACTATTAATGAAGATCCATATAAAGAAGATAGACCACAATGCTTAAGTCGAGGCACTATTAATGGTTGGTTTAATTATTGTAGAGAAACTATAGTTATTTATCAAATGGACAAAAATCAAGTTAAAGGAAAGATTGGTGGCCCAGGGAAGATTGTGCAGATGGATGAATCAAAATTTGGGAAACCAAAATACAACCGAGGTAAATCTTTTATAGCTCAATAAATTATATTTATGTATGGGGTCATCGCATTTTACGACCTTGACCCCCACACTCCCTGCGCCATTCACACACTTGCCCAGGCGTGGGGGCCCGTAAGCGGGTTTTCCCAGGTAAAAAAAAAAATTTTGTAATTTTTGTTTCCGGCGCGCAAAATTTGTGGGGGGTGATTACTACACCCCTCCCCCCTCCTCACCCACCCCCCACGCAACCCCAAATTTGGGTGCATCGTTTTCGCATCGTTACAAAAAAAAAACTTCTAAGGTTTTGTTGCACAGCTGTCCTCTTGCCTTTGTGGCACAAAGGCCTCCTCCAGCTGTTTCCAGTGCTTCCTATCCCTGACAAGTCTTTGCCACAGAGGACCAGTGGCTTTTTTAAAGTCATCAGCCCACCGCGCACATGGTCTTCCTCTCTTTCGCTTGGTGTTGTAGCGAGGTGTCCATTGGGTGACTTTTTTCGACCATTTTGCTCTCTGGCCTCTGAGCAGGTGTCCTGTCCATCTCCATTTAGCCTTTTGGCTCTGGTCATTGCATCTTCCCAGTTGGTGATCCTTCGGAAATCTACAGCTCTTTTCCTATCATTCCGTATGTAACCTAGTATGCTCCTTTCCATACTTCCCTGGCAAGTCACAAGCTTTTGACTTGTGACTTGCTTAGTGGTCCAAGTTTCGCAGCCGTAGGTTAGGATAGGTAAGATGCAGGTGTTGAAGATACCCCTTTTTGATCCTTAGTGGGTACTCTTTATTCTTTAAGATGTGTTGTAATGACCAGAATCTTTTCCAGGCATTTGAGGTTCTTCTCTGTATTTCCTGATGGGCTTGTTCTGTCATGGAGATGAGTTGTCCCAAGTATATGTAGGTTGTCACATATTCTAGGTTTTCGTTCTCTAGGATAATAGTATCTGGTGTTCTGTTTGTCATGGCTTTTGTTTTTGATTTGTTCATTGTTAAACCCACTTCTTTGCTATTGGTTGCCAGTTCTTCGATCATAGTTTGTAGTGTTCCCGGTTTGTCAGTTATAAGCACAATGTCATCTGCAAATTTCAAATGGTTGATCCTTTTTCCATCTATGTTTATACCGCAATCTTCCCAGTGTAGGTTTCTGAAGACTTCTTCCACCACACAAGTAAAGAGCTTAGGCGAAAGAGGGTCTCCCTGTCTGACTCCTCTTTTGAGTGGAAATGATTCTCCCAGCATCTCCAGCTTCACCCTGGCCGAGCACTGGTTGTAGACATTTCCGATGAGTCTAATGTATTTCCCTTCAATGCCTTGGTTTTTTAGCGCTCTCCAAATGCATGGGTGCTCCAAAGAGTCGAAAGCTTTGCTGTAGTCGACAAAAGCCAGGTACAGGGGATATCCATATTCCTGGCACTTTTCCACAATTTGTTTCAAGGTGTGCAATGTGCATGTGGTCTATTGTGGAGAATCCAGACCAAAATCCGGCTTGCTCGGTTGAGAATGATTTTTGCAAAGAATTTATACACGTTGGACATAAGACTGATACAACGATAGTTGCTAAAGTCTTCTTTGTCTCCTTTCTTGTGGTTTAGGATTATTGTGCTTTGTGTCCATTGTGTAGGTATGTATTCAGTATCCAATATTTCATTGAATAGATTTGTTAATGTTGTTAGTGTGTCCGGAAGTGCAATTTTGATTGTCTCATTAGTTATATTGTCCAGGGGATTTTTAATTTTTCTGTGTCAGGATTGCATATTTGACTTCCCTTTCTAAAACAGGTGGGATAGGTTCTTCGTGTTCTGGGTCGGGGTTGGCATATGTTTCAGAATTGTTTTTACATGAGTACAGTTCTTTAAAGATGGATGTTGCAGTATCTAGTATTGTTTATCTATTTGTAACAAAATTTTTGGCCTGTTTTTTGAGTCTTGGTATCCATTGTTTAGGTGGTTGTAGTTCTTTTAGGGCTTTCCTTATTTCTCCGCTTAATCTAATTACATATATTTAAATGTTATTGTTTATTTACTTTGGGGCACTAATGAATGTAACTCTAAAAATGTGTCTCATATATTGCTTACATACAAACTCAATATTAAATTGTACGAAATTGTACGAAAAAAGAAGAACTATTTTCACCAATAAAACATTTGAAAAAAAAATTTAAAGCATTTTGCAGGCGTAAACAGTTTGACAAAGATGTTAACAGAGTTGAAACAAAAAATAAACCAAATTCATTACACGAATAAAACAGTTTACGACAAAAAAACTAATTTACGGCTGACACAATAAGTTTATAACTGGTGTGTTGCATACAAAGAATGTTAGTACTTACACAACGCATTGACTATGACCTCATTCTACTGCGGTTAAGATAATGTATATATTAATTCTAGTAAAAAGTGTATGTAAATCAATTGTTTAATTCGCGTGTTCTGCACACCGTAAGACTTAAAGGTAGGTACGATTCCACCAGTGTGCTGAACTGTAGGGCACAGTGTTGCAGAGCGTACGGCACAAATGTTTGATTTGGTCGACTCATAAAAGTGAACAATAACAAAGTAACAGAACAGAAGAACAAGAACATGTTCATGTTCACCTACAGCGTCGATGTTCATCGTTCAACACGCAGTGCACAAGTAAGTTAGTTGTCTGATAAGTCTGATAAGTACGTAAGTTGGGAGATAAGTATAGTGTAATGTGGACTCCGCACTTAGACGCTCATTTGAACTGTTGTGCGTTAAGTCCTGGCTGATTAAGCCAGCCTAGCTCCTTCCAGAAGCTCAGAAGGCACTTCGCCGGCTTCAAGGAGCAACCTCACTGCTCTTAAGATTTCTGTTCGTTAGGAAACAACAGTTACGCTTTCCAGGACTGATTACGTGGGTTGGGTGACTGATTACTCTACGCTAAAGCAGCTTATGTAAGGGACTTTCTATCGCGCCAAGGACAAAGAGATGATTATGATGACAGTGGCCCGTAATTGACACTATCATTATTTTGAGATTAATTCTGGTAAGGCTTGGAAGTCGCTTTGTCACTGTAGCACCATTTTGGGCTGTCTACAGTCCGCGTTTGTCTACCAACGGTGAATTTGCAGTTCTGTGGATCGTTGGCGAATCCAGGTTCGCAGTTTGGAGAAGGAACTGGTATGGGCTCCGGATCCTTTCTTTGCCAGAATTATAGTTTTCTACATAATAAAACCAGACGCCATTCACAAGAGCCCAATTATTGATTCCGCCTGCCATAAATTTCATAGCAAAGCTGCTCTTTGTACTCGCTATAAAGTAGCTGTCTATGTCATAGGTTTAAGTAAATATAGTGATAATATATTGCACCAACTTTTATAATGAGCTTTTATGATTTTCGATAGATTTTTCTATGATGCCCGCCATTAATTTAATTTGATACGAATGCTTTAAGCTTCCGTTAAGTAACAAATATGCACACAGGGCGCTGCTCAAGTTGTAAATACAGACTACAGAGTTTTATTGTTATTGTAAATTAAACTTAACGTATAAGAACTTCACGACGTTTTCAAAGCGTCAAATTCCATGAATGAAGAGGCATAACATACAATTTTGTCGCCTCTTCCTCTAACAAGAAGGTCAGAGTTTGCCATTTTCCAATAAAATCATTTGCCGTGATTATCTCATCTCATGTGGGTCATACTTTTGTTTATATACAATAATGTAAAAATAATTAAAAGGAAATTATACAAGTGATTACAAAATAAGAACAAAGGAGTTCACTGACCTTCTTGCTGCTCTTGAAGACACTGCACTTGAAAGCGTTAGTGGCGCCATCTCTGGCAATGTATGAGAAAATCTTCAAATCGGAACTGTCGTGAGACACGTAGAATATGCGATATATAGGGTGGTGCATTATTTCAATTGTTTCACTGCATGTTGCGGTCTTGCGTCCAAACAGTTTTCCGGGACCCTGTAACAATTATGTAGTTATAAAAAAAATTAAATTATTTCTGGCCATCGGTTAAAGTATAGGGAATCCATCTGGTACAAAGCTTCATGACGCCTAAATTTTCGTGTGATATTTTTTGACCTTGAATCATACCAATGCCTAGGCTTGCCTGTATCTGCTGGTAGGTTCTACCATCTTATCTTCTTCTGTCATGCGTCGCACAGCACTGATGTTACTTTCAGTAGTCGCTGTTAAAGGACGTCCCTCACGCGGATCATCATTGAGGTTGCTACGTCCACGCTTAAACTCGTTAAACCAATTGAAAATAGTGGCACGAGATAGGGCTTCATTAAGAAATGCTTATCGCAGCCTATCATAGCTTTGTTGTTGAGTAAGCCCACAACGAAAGTCTTAATAAATCATTGACTTAAAATTTTCTCGGGTTAGGTTAATTTTCACGTGTAATAAGAATTTTAGATTTGCCACCAATTCACAAAAACAAATGACAAATGAATGCAATATACTACATTAGGTTACCAAAGAGTTCTGAAATTGAAATAAAAAAAGTTTTCATTAGCAATGTTTCTAACGCGACCATAACGCCACGGTTCTTTATTCAAATATACCAAAGATAAATTTTAACATTTGTAGGGTTACCACGGAACCGAGAGCATGGCCGGTGATACCACAATGGGCATACGAAGCCATATTTCCAATCGAACGAGATTCATACAAATCCGTTAGGTTATTTGAATGCACATTTGTCATTTCCAATTTAACGAAAGCCTTTCTTTGTGCTTTCACTTAATCCGATAATATTAAATTTCCTAAGCTAAAACTTTGCGAGGACAAAACAGCTCAAACAAACACAATCTAAACTACACGTCGCGTTGTTGGAAATCTACGAAGGGTTGGTCAATCATAAGTTTGTTAAAGTATTAAATACTTACGTTTAAATAATATATTTGTGTAAAAATATATTTTGCGCGTTTTAGATTACGTAATCGTTTGCAAAAATTACACTAGCGCCATCTAGTAGATATATATTATGTTAAAATATTAGATATAGCTAGACCAAAATATATTGTAAAAGATGAAGAAACCCTGTGTGTTCTTAATCATTTATATTTAGGCGATCAGCCTGTGTGGTCACGGCGTCCATTTTAGCTCTTAGGGTTAGGAGGACACTAGAGCCGTACGAACTGGCAAGAAACTCTCCACCACTCCTTTTATCCTCTCCACCTGCATCTTAGACAAATTTTTTACGACTAGCGTGATATACTAACGTCAATAAAAAAAACGTGTGGCACTCGGAGACTGCCGTGGTAAAGCTATTGCATAGCATTTTTTATTAACTTATGCAATTATAATTATTTATTTATTTTCTATTCATGCAGTATTTTCTACCACTCTACCAGACTCAGACTAATACGCCTATATAGTCTGTCTCACTCTAACGCGTACCGGCTGCACCGGCCGCGCTTACGCTACGTCACCGATCTTGTGAGAGAGATGTGAATACAGTATGCGTTCTGTCCCGCTCTATCGCGTATGGCCGCACCTATATTACGTCATCGTGTGTTAGGTTTTTTTCGTTACGGAATTTCTTGATTCGGTCGCCGCGCTCAAAGCCCGCGATAAAAGCTATGCAATAGCTTAACATGGTCACGTGACAAAACGAGAATAAATATAACTTTATATTACGTTTCAAAATCCACTATCGAACTGCAAAAACTTAAGTGGAAATGGGTGGGCCAAGAAAGAAGACTCTATCACGCTGGGCTGACGATCTTCAAGAAGTTGAGGGGGGTAGATTGGGAGAAAAATGCTTAAGATAGATGGAGCCGGTTGGAGGCCTATAAGAGGTCCTTGAAAAAAATAATTATTTCTGTAACGTCACAATAATTGTTAGAGAACTAATATAAACTTATGCCATTCTTTATAGACTTTTATTCACCATTCTTTAATCTATAAGGTAACCCAGGTAGAGTTGCTGGTAAGAGCAGTCTTAACAAATTCTCACAAAGTGTAAACTATGCCCGGTTTTGAAACTTACGGTACATATCTTTGCGAGTATTCATAGTTAATATTTCATAGTTAGTTACATTCTACTATAATTGGCGTTCTTCGTATTACTAGGTTTTAAGAGATTTTTTGGATTCTAAGAATACAATTTTTGAGTACGTGAATTAAGAAATTTCTCTCATGTTTGGTAATTTAAAAAAATCCTAGACACTTTAATAAGTAAATATTAAGAAATATATGTATAAATATAGGCCTTTTAAGCTAACTTACGGAATTCGGAATTGTCAGGCTTCATTTCGAACGCATTTGTTCATATTTATTATGACAACTATTTTGTTTTTTCACGGTTCAACCAGATGGTTGAGAATCATACGCTGTTTTATATATAATATTAAATTGATTTATAAAAATTAAATTGACTTCAAATACCTGTCACCATATTGTACATTCCAGAGGGGCCATAAATTCATATCTAAAAAAAGTACCGAAAAGATTTTGCAAAAACTTTGTCTGTTATATATGTAGTACCTTTTCTATACCTGATTTATATCAAAAAGCATCAATATGGCTTTTAATTTCAAAAATAATTGTGGACAGACATATTTACGCCTATTTATTTATTTACACCTTATGTAGTTGAAGTTATTTTTATAAAATAAACAGAAAACCTTTGCCATCTAATAATATTTTCTAAGTACATTTTAAAATCATAGTATAAAATATATATCCTACACATAAAGGTCACTTTCCGGCGAAGAGTCGATAGAGCTATTAAGCTGCGATGGTAAGCGGGGAATGGGAGCGTGTTGACTGTGAACAGTGCGAATCGAATACACAGCAAAAAGGTTATATTTCCGGCAGCGGTGATTATTGTCCGAAACGTATAGTCTCATAATCTTTCCCAATATGCGCTTTCCGTTTCGTTATTCATTATGCTTAAAACAAATTTGACCAAAACGAAATCACTACGAAATTCTAGAGACATACCCTAAAATCCCAATCCTATAGTATTGTCTTTGATTAACATAACCTTTACACATTTAAAGAAAAAACTTTTATACCGGATTAAAGTTATGATTTATTATAAATTTACAATTATTTAACATAATTTTAAATTTATCCGACGTGGTCACCGTGACCACGCACGCTGTAAAGCACGCGAATAACATAAATACATAACTTTAATCCGGTAAAAAAGTTTTTTCTTTAAATCCCAATCCTACCCTCATAAATGCAGCATCTGTAATCCTCCGAATATTGACATGTCTTTTGAAGCCTTTAGATCAAATATTGTACAATTCCAACTGGCATATGGCAACAGTTCAAACTTTATAGTAAAAACAGAAAAGATTTTAAAGAAAATATCATGTAGTCATATAAAAAACACATTCAGTTTTGACAGTTTGAAACGAGAAAGCTTTTACCGCCGTATCTGTAAAAATACTCCACTCGAATAATGGATGAAAATCGATTTTGTAATATTTATCACAAAATTTACCGAACACTTCTATACTAATTTATATAGCTTTTTTGTAATTAGAAGACTTTTAAAAAGTTTAGTTTTTAGGTTTTGTGTATATATTGTGTTTTGTCTATAACCTGTTCTCTTTTCTATTTATGCAACTTTGTAAGCTTTCTTTGTTAAATGTGGATTTATCTAATTTAACATTATTATCTAATTAATCTTATTTTACAGACCAAAATTATGTAAGAATAACTTCGAAGGAATGACAACGTATTGTTCTCAATACAGTGCAAGTGCATTCTTGTATTTAAAATATTTACTGCTGATAGAGCTAAACTTTTGTTTTTTGTTTTTTTTTTTCATTGTCAATATGAAGCTTGGATGACATGCAAGTGACGGAGTGTTTTTACCAATTCTCGTAAAATCAAAATGATTCAATGACATGATAAATATACACCAAATTACCTATTCGAATATATGGAGAGTGAATGTTATTCTATTTTCAACGCATAAAGCTTTCAGATTTATACACTTTAGCTGAAATTCCCAATTAAAAAAATCTTCTTCCTGATTTCTTAAACATCGTGTACTACGGCGACTACTTAATCATCGTCATACTGCCGCTGCGGTTTTTTTTGTTGTTTTATTCGGTCACTACCGATTCCGTGCGGAGGCGACGTTAATTTAAATTCTTCCTCGTTGAACTCACTAACGCGCAACCGTAGAATATGAAGGAGCATGGCCCTCATGATGCTCTCAAAACTTCATTTACCAGATTCATCTGATATTTTTCCCAACTTCTATTGCTTCTATTTTTATAAATAAAAAAGAATTTAATGTTCTTTTATTACAGCCTGACTATGCCTGTTTTTTTTTCTTTCCAAGGAGAATGTATTTTTACTATTTATTGAACTCCTATCTAATATTCTGATTTGATAATTCTTGATTCATTTTATTTTATTTTTTTATTTATTTATTTACACTTCGTTGCTAATAATATAAGAAACACAATACATAAAAATTATAAGGGATGCAACGGGCGGCCTTATCGCTAATAAGCGATCTCTTCCAGGCAACCCTAGTTAAAGAGAAAAACTAAAAAAAAAGACACATGATGCGTGCGAGAAGTGCAGAATCCTTAATCTAAAGTAATACAAAAAAAAAATATTAATAACAAACTAAAAACTTAAAAACTAATCTTACAAATACATGAACAGCGAATAGTGATGTAAAAGGAATCATAAGAATTATACAAGTCACGATTGATGAGGATAGGATAAGGTTAAGAAATGATTATACAGAAGAGTTTTAAAAAATGACAGAGAGGTAGCCAATCGTACGGAGTCAGGCAGCGTATTCCACAACTTAATGGCGGAGATCGTAAATGAATTGCCTAAGAAGGATGAAGTGTGGGATATAATTTCCAATAAACATCTATTAGAAGAGCGTAACATATAGTTAGAAGGACCTAAGAATTTGAAGTGATTTTTGAGATAAGAAGGGGTTTTCGGATTGAAAAGAGTTGAGTATAGAAGTTGAAGAAGATGAGCGTGACGTCTGAATCGAATAGGTAGCCACCCCAGCTGCCTGCGGAATTTAGACACATGGTCATATTTTCTAAGACCAAATATGAAACGTATGCAGAAATTCTGCAGGCGTTCGATTTTACGTACCTTTCCTTTGGTAAATTTACTCCGGGTTGTTACTCGCACACCGTCCGTCGACACATCTACGGTCACTTTACGTTTCTTCATGCCTCGTGCTTTGAATTCACACTGAAAAGTAGTAGAATTTATGAAATTAAGAATACATTCAACATAGTCGTGTTTTCACGACATTGTTTTGTTTTGTCATTCGGAAATGGAATCATACTTATGTGAACACTGATGATCGGAACTCAACTGTCAACTGTCATATTTGAATGTTAACTGTCAGCTGGCAATAATAATAGCAATTTAATGTTATAAACTTAGATTACATAACAATCATGTAACTTAATAAATAAATTGGTATTATTATTGAAATATTTCTTAGTTAAAACACATTTTTCAGTATGTGATGAATACATCAACAGAGCCTTATCCTTATGGACATTGGCCACAGACAGCGTTTATCTACGTTTTTTGTCTTCTATGCCCGAAATAAATTTTTATGTTTAAGATATGCCAGTTTCTTTGACCTAAAAGTGTTTTTCTTTTTAATGATTATTAAATTTTTATAGAACGAAAACTCCGTGGAACACCGTCGGAATAAGAATGTACGACCTGGCGTGAGTCAACACTGCCTTTGATGGCTGAGTAAAAATTAATTTGACGCAGAAATTAACACGTTCGTACATAAAAAACTACATCATTACTACATTTCCATACATGTTTTTATATTTCTTCGCTAACAACGTATTTGAAGCGAGCTTACATTATGCAAATAAAAACAATATATTACTGAGAACATTTCGAGACTTTATAAAAGTGCACAGAGTATAAACTGTTTTCCGTTTCGTATTTCGCAACTAGCTCAGTTTTTAAAGAAATTTTCATTAAACCACGAAACGAATTACGATTAACTTTATTTTGAAAATGTAAATTACTGCAATACACCGTAATAATTTAAATTTTATTCGGAATAAGCGGATAAGCGAATAGGTTCTGCTAAATATAACAATACGGTATCATTTAATTGCCACCAGTAGTTTGGATATATGGATGGCTAGCAACCAATTGCGGAACAAAACTAATATAAGACCTTGTGTGAAGATGTAGATGGTACACCTCGTAAGGTTTACCTCCACCCTAAAGCCTAACCACTGCTGGACGAAGGCCTCATTCACTAAAGTCGAGAACTTGTAACTTGTAAGGGCCTTTCAGGAACATCATTGTTGTAATTGGTCAGAAGCATCTCTGGAACACGTGACGCCGATATACCAATTAAAATCAAACTGGCCATCATTTCGTTTGTAATATTTTCCATAATAAAACACAATTTGATACAAAATGTTACAGTCCATGAAATAAATGGTCAATAAATATTTTATTGTATAAACGTCGATTTGAAGTACTGACTATACAATTTGTCTATATGTAATGGGTTGTTGCTTGAGTTTTACTTGACTTCGCTTTTGGCCAATAATCTCGAAGTGCTCTAGAGTATATACATGGAACTAGATACGTATATTTCTAAAGTTTATAACATACCATCCCGTAAGCTCGTAATGGCCTGATCGTATTAGTAGCCATTTCAGTCAACGTTTTGCGATCAACATTATTAACGCAACATTTTAATTTTTAGCGCCCTTGAGTTATAGTTTACAAAACTCAAATCATTAATTAATATTTGCATTTTGCTCTGTGACTCAAAAATACAATAAACCTCCAACCGATTTATCATTAAATTGTGACGTTCATAAATCCAAGAATTTCCACAATTATCCACCCACTCGTTCATAATGTTCGCACATTTTCTTCAACTTGCGAGTGAGATATTATATTTTAATTTTCAGTGTAATATATTTATACTTACACGAACTCTGCGCATTGCAGCAACAATCTCCACACGGCTTGTTGGTCCTGGCACGTCCATTGTCCCAATGTACTGTAAAGAACAAATTCGTTAACTATTCAGTAGTTTGGTAAAGCTTTCTTAAGTACTGTAAATATAAGACAAGTAATATTTTTTTTTAATTTGAAAGGAAAGACGACAGATTAATAGAGAAAAATTAAAAAATATTTATTTATGTATATGTGCTGTTATTGTCTATTGTTTAAGTAGGAACTAATTACCACCCTGGTCCGCCAATGGATTTTTGCGTAAATACTCTTACGTAATGGAACTTCATAAAAAGATATTTAGAATAATATATTTGCATGTAGAGGAATCACGGAGACGTACCCGCTTAAGTAATAAATGTAAAGAACAAAGGTTTCTCCAAGATAAGTTTAAATATACGTCAAAACAATTTTGTGAAATCCTTAAACCTTAATTGAAGTGGAAACTAGCCCAGAGGCATTATTTGTGATAAAGTCTAATTCGGAGTTGTAGCTTAATAATGTTGTTGCAATATTTCAGGTCACACTTCAATTGTCAGACTAATTAATTTTGGATCCCAAACATTTAATATGGTTGGGATCCAATATTCTGCGCTGGTTCAGTCAGCAAATGATTTGATAGTTATTAAACAATCGGACAGAAATCCTCGGAGAAATGAGGTCGCTCCGTGAAGACCTGCAAATGTCCACGAAACTTCTGAACTTCTGGAAGGTGTTATGCTGGCTTAATTAGCCAGGACCTTACGCACAACGGTTCAAATGGGCGTCTAAGTGCGGAAACTGAGTCCACATTACATAAATAAATAAAGTCCGTTTATTTCCAATCTTTACAAATGTTAATATACAGTTTTTTTAGATTTGTTGTATTTTTTTTCTTGTTACTCGATAACCTGACTTCCTCCTGTACCATTTGGAACTCATTTACGTCCATCCATGGCTTTCTTTCTCCATTCGCTTCCTTCAAAAGCTTCCATATCTTCTTTTATATCTACCTTTATAGACCGTCCTCATCTCCTTCTTCCCAATGGCATATATTAAATAATGCTTACTCAATTACATTTACATTTCGTGCTGCTAAGCACTCGGAGCATCGAGTCTTAGTCAGCGAGAATACATCATATTTTCACGTAGAGACCTTTTTTGTTCACTTGTGAACGTCAAATGAAAATGACTGCCAGTTCTTTCATTATAAGCGACGAAATGTGCCAAAAAACAGTCTAGCACTGGTTATAACCAATTTAAATATGTGTACGTTTTTAATAGCCAACTACATATTAGATCATGCAGCTGTATTTAGTTAATAGGTATTGGTCCATCTAAGCTTTACTGTTCGTATGTCGTATGTGACTATGTCTCCTAAGTATACACATAGTAAAAGTTATTGTCGTTCAAGTAACAACCCTTTGTGGAACCTTCTTGAAATTATTAATTTTTCTTTGAAGATAAAATCAGTCTTCTGTGCCTGAAACTAACGCCGATTTCTTTGTCGTGCGAGTATATCCAAAATACGCAAAGAAAGAGAGCAGAGCTTAGTTAGGTGCCGAGATTATTAGTTTTTAATTAAGCAGGGATAAATTAATTAAGGAATTACATATTTTGTCTCTGGCAAGTCAATACATTTATGAGAATATTTTGTATGTGCGGAAAATATAGATATCTTTAAAAATAATAGTAGCTTCCATAATTATAGTACCCGTAATAAAGACAAAATTAGCGCACCAACCACAAGGCTGCATAAGACGAGTCATTCTTTTAGTGGGTGCGTTGCCGGCCTTTGAGTACACTCGCTTTTTAAACATTTGGAGGTCGTATCTCTGAGGGAAGACCCCCACCGGGAGTCGATTTCACAGTTCGCTAGTTCGCAAAAGAAAATGCCTTGTGAAACGGACTGTGGAAGACCTCCAACCATCAAGATGATGTTGGTAAAATTTAGAGGTCGTACGGCTCGTACAGTGTTGAAAAGAGGCAGGAGGGATCAACCCAAACAATTCATCCGAACACTCTCCGTAGTAAACTTTGTAAAAAACGCAAAGACACGCAATGTCTCCGCGTAGCGAGAAAGAATCAAGCCGATCAGTAAGACATTGGAGATTGACAATTCGACAAACCCTTCGCTGAATTTGGTCAAAAGGAAGAAGCTGGTATTTGGGAGCACCGGCCCAGAGATGTGAGCAGTATTCCATATGAGGTCGTACTTGAGCTTTGTAGAGCTGCATACGTTGTAAAACTTTTCTAATAAAATTCTTAGTTTTCTACACAAAAATTCTATATGGGAATCCCAAGAAAAAGACGTATCTATTTTTACTCCTAGATAATTTACACAATTAACTTTTTCGATAGGTTTACACGTACAGTTAATTTTGTTGTTATGAAAGCAATCAAAGCCGTGCGCAAAAAGAGGAGGTGGATTATCAATAGAACTTAAATACGGGGAGTGAATAATTATCATCTTTGTTTTGTCAGCGTTTAATATGATGCCGTTATCATGTGACCATTTAACTACCGCATCCACATCCTCTTGAACCCGGCGACACATCTCCGAGAGGTCGGTACTAGCGCTGAGAGTACAAAGGTCATCAGCAAACATGTGGGCCGAGCAGTGACGTAATACTTCACAGAGGCTATTTACATACATCAGGTAGCACACTGGCCCACACCCAGAACCCTGGGGGACGCCGCAGTTTACTTGTTTCTCCTCACTGAATGCGTCGCCGACTTTCACACGGTAAGAGCGCGCCGTGAGACAATCGCTGAACCAAGGGTTCAACGGTGCCCCAGGCCGCACTCCTCCATTCCATTTAAGAGGGTCTCAGTATTTAAGGTATCAAAAGCCTTCTTAAAATCATAAAAAATAGCTACAATAATTTTTTTATTTTCCAAATGTGCATTAATTTCGTCTGTAAAATTTGATAATAAAGTGTTGGTGCTTTTATTTTTCTGGAAGCCATGTTGACATTCCGTTAAGATATTATTTTTTTGTAAAAAAGTTCCAATTTGATTGACAACACATTTTTCCATAATTTTGTCAATACTTGATAGTATAGCTATTGGTCTATAATTCGAAAAAACTTTACGATCGCCTCTCTTATAGACCGGACGAACGATTGCTTCCTTTAATTTTTGTGGAAATTTGTGATATTTTACAGATAGATTTATCAGATTAGATAATACAGGGCTAATCTTGTCAACAATTATTTTTAAGTCAGACATGCGTATAAGATCACTGCCCGGTAATTTACTTTTGTTCATTTTATCAATTATTAGTTTTATATCCTTGCCATCGACCGGTTGCCATCTCATACACACATTCGATAATTTAACATAAGTCTTCCTTTCCAGCCATTTTTCATCACAGGAGTGCTTTATTTGATCAATTTCCTTTGAGAATGTATCAGCAAAATCATTACAGACTGCCTGCGTGCCACCTTGTTTAGTTATGTTATTTAAGATTAGATTATCCAAAGACTGCTTATTTTTACCCAATAATTCATTAATTTTATCCCAAACATTTTTTTATATTATTATTACAATTTGAAATTGTTTTTTTATCATGTTCTACGTTACATTTAAAAATTGCCTTTTGACATTTGTTCCTGTGCCTAGTATAAGTTTGTCTTTTTACCATATTCTTTGGATCACTACACTATATTTTGAATAATCTATCTTTTTCAATAACCATATTTTTTAAGCTATTGTTTAACCAATACTTTTCATTTCTAGAATCCCTGTTACCAGTCATATTTTTTACTTTATAACATTGGTTGTATATGTCTCTAAATAAAGTAGATAGCTCGTCATATAATTTAAATGGGCATTCAATATTTAAGAGATGATCGAAGTTGGTTTCTAATAATTTTTCTCTGACTAATCTATTGTCAAGCACACGGCGGTAGCGCTGGGCCGAGGTAATGGCAGGGGCAGCGCGTGATTCACACACCTCGCCCGAGTGAGCTACATTGGGGGTCTGTTTCCATTGTACAGATGCCGCGACCAAATAATGGTCAGATATTTTATGTTTTATGACTGCAGAATCGATTAATGCTGAGGATGATTTAATAAATATATGATCAAAACATGATTCGACTACATTACCCATTAAAATTTCCCTTCTCGTCACGTCTTTGATACATTTTGTAAAACCGTGTTCGGCTAATAAATCTTCATAACATTTTACATATTTATCGGTACCTTTTAACAAATTTATGTTTATATCCCCGCATATAATTACTTTGTCACTAGTAGATAATGATTGTAAAAGTTTTTCTAAGAATGTTAAAAATTCTTGGATTTTATTCTGATTATTGTATCTTGGTGGACGATATATTGAAATAACTTGTAATTGCTCACTTTGCCAGTTGCAAACAATGGAAACAAACTCGGCCGTACGCTCGCCGTTCACAAGGCTAGGTTTCTGGCTAAGCCGCGCGCACAACCCCGCGCGAGAGTAAACCAGCACTCCACCACCTCCTCGCCCACAACGAGTGTGTGCATTTACATCAAATCCAGGAATACTATAAAATGTTAACAATGAATAATTGATATTAGGTTCGGTTATTACTAATATATCTATATAACTTAGATGGTCGTTAAGCACTACTAAAAGTTCTGAAAAATGTTTTTTTATAGAACGAATATTTACGTGAATAATACAGAGTTCTTTTTTGTAGATACATTGACTTATCCAATTATCTATGCTATCAGCCCTGCGATTCTGTAACTCGCTTCACACACTCTCAGCGCTGATTTTTGCTGTCAAATCGTTCGTTTCGGTGTCATGTTACAATTTGGTATTCTGATAAACAATAACCGCGACAAAAGCGCCGCTCAAATGAGATTGTTCACATTTGGAACTAAAATTTGGCACTGCTACACTTACGCTCCAAAATTGTTGGTATTTGGTATTCTGATACATACCATTTGACATCTCATCTCATTTAAATGTAGATTCTTTACGTCAAATTAAAAGTTGCTCTTCCCTCGCTGAAATCGTGATTTACCAGTGAGGTAGCCATTTTTAGCGAAGTTAAAACTTCT